GCGTAAATACATTGACCAGATCCAGGGTCTGCGTCGCGTAATCTGTTTGACCAGACATTGACAGTACTGCACACCAATTTCCGGGTTAAAGCCCTAGATATCATTTTGGAAATCGCAGCGAGTTATTTTGTGTGGTTACACCAAGGTTCTATATGTGCTTTGTCGGTAAGCTCGGATACCATAATATTTAATTCTTCATTGCTTAAGCCACTCACTAGCCCTCTCCAGAAATCTATAATGCGTATGGTACGCGTCAAACATAAATAAGGATTTCGTGTTCATTTTTGTATCCTGTCCGTCTTATTTAGGTGCATTCGGGAAAGAAAGTAATCTTTACAGTGATGTTTTTTCAACACGACGAAGACGAATAATTTTAGTCTACCATTCATTCATTGATGAAAATATACATTGGAGAAGGTTTCGGTCATCTATAGACCTTGTCATCGGGTGGTGCCGACATTTTGCGTTACCGACACCTACCAATAATAGGTAGTGGTTAAACAGCATCATGGAAGACCTGCTGTGCATGCCACCCAACGCAATATAAATCATTACTTTGTGGAGAAAACATAAGTCAACGAGAATCTTACGAAGTGCATCATCTGTAAACATAACCGAGCAGAGGTCCATATACTGACGATATTTAAGCTTATGCAAAGTGCATAGATATTGCAAACTGCATTAAGCAGAGTCATCGGCATGCGTAAAAATGATGTCAAAGGTGAACTAAGCATACAGATAGCCTACGGACCGACCTGAGCAGTAGTACATGAGACAAGCTCACCCAATTTCACAAATTTTGCGATATTTTGTTTAACTTGTCGCAGCGTTCATCGCGATCTTTACATGTACAAGCACCTTGTAATTCTATTTATAAAAAAGTCCATCACCAGCTTATTTATACACCTTTAGCGAAAAATGAGCTATAATAGATTATCTTTATTATACGATTCACACCTCAACCCTTCATTGTGTCCGTACGTCCGAGTGTGGTGTCTGTTCCGGTTCCTGATACATCTTAGCTTTTGCTATGGGTCATAAGTCATTTGCGGCAACAATTTGCCTTGTAGGTCTGAGATTTATGCTCAACTTCACTGCCAAAGCCCCAGTATACACGCCATTAAGCTCGTACAGAAGCTCTGTTTTAGTCTTGTTGCAATACTCGTCACCCGTCGACATCTATTAATTATTTTATCTGATTAGCGCTCGACATTATCACTAGCATAAAAAAACTACATAACCAGTTGACCTAGCGCTTCCCTTTAGACGATTGAATACGGTAATGGTAGGTACAGTGATAGTGTGTGAAGCTCTATCAACGTTCAAATCTTAGTTGCGCTGAGCACATAACTCTTCGGCTACGGATGTTTGGCACTCAATGTCTTCGGTTGTATACTCTAGATGAGAGACTTGAAGACAATAGAAGCACTTACTAATAACTTGCATCAGTTCCTGTCTATTCCTTTTCTTTACTTGCTTCTGTCAAATATTGGCGAATCGAGCTGTCATAGTAGAACTTTGCGCATATCTTGTGTCATTCCGTTCTTAGCTGAAGATGATGAGGACATGGACTGGCAATAATATGCTATGGGGAGCTGCTGTCTTCCTGCAAAAGTACGCCGGAGGACGAGGTAGACTGATCTGCTTAGAATTTGCCGGATTAATGCCTTGGCATCATTGTCTAGATAAGGTATTTACGAAGAGTAGCTACGAATGCGAGATAGGCCGCTTAAAGTGGTTTTTATGGCGAACACATACACTTCCATAGTGTTGGAGCGCGGCGCCTTAAGATTGAATCAATTAACGGATTCTTACAGGGCTTTTTTATGGGGCACGCCGGTACCATCAACGCACTGTCATATATTTAAGATACAAAATCCATATATTTACTTAACAAGCGAAACATATTTCCTTCTCACCCACTGAAGCCTGATCTCATCCGGCGACTTGGCGTTGACGCACATTTCGCCATTAGGACTGCATCTTTCTAGTATAATACTTAGCCGTTTACAAAATCAATTCCGCGGTCGCTGCATATTCAGAATTGCTCATAAATGATGCAATCAACAAAATCGCCCACGTTATATTAAAAAGAGTCCATCTCAAGCTCGAATGATTTCGAAACGACTTCCGCACGGGATACAAAGGGATAAAGATCGATCAAATTGCTTAAATCCGGCCGTTTACAGGCTTGTCATCAAGCTCGATCATCTAGACTCAGTCACTGTCGATCAATTGGAGATGCGACAGGCACTTCGGAGCATACAAACAGTTCAACTTCCTGTTATCCTCGTCTGGTAAGCGTGCGACACAACCGCACCTGTATAGCACTTAAGTGACTCTGCCGCAGTCCGATAACGTTTTTGCTCTTCGAGAAGGAAAATGAGCCGCACGGGAATCTCCGAAGATTGGAGAAGATTTTAAGCAGAAAGATGCAAGGCTAGGTAAGGCAAGAAGGCGTGTTTTCTATCTATGACAGCAGAAAACGCGGCAGTCCCCGCCGCTAAGATTGCCAACTCGCCTGTATTTGATGCATCATAAGCATTCAAGTTCGTCATATTTATAACATTTAGGGGATTGGTCGTAGCTCTCGCTGAGCTACATCGATACAAACTGACAACTCGTGGGCTGAAAGGTATCGCGCAATAAACAGAGGTTCTCAGTGTCTCTAATCCTCGGCCTAATGATTGACCACTTCTCAAGTTTTGCAAGAGGACACCAAATTGCGGTTCGCCCTGCTCATTAGCTCATTTTTTAGGTCAATTTTGTGACGTCTCAAAAACGCAATATCCTTCGATAACCATCGTTTTGTTAAACTTATTACGCTTCACAATTGCATGCAGTGGAGACGTTATTCTCGTGATTTTACGTAAAATCCACCATGCTATATAAACATGTTTCGTAATACACTCACCTGCGTCAAATTTATTATTTAGTGGAGTGCCACGTCGTATGGCCAAATATTTGTCATATACTAATATTCTACAGCACCTTTTTCCATTGCTTAGCTACTAAAGCAGCATATTTGGAGTTGCGCATTCTGCACTTGTCCGCGTCGACGCATACTATGAATTTGGCACATGATTTAAGCAACAAATTGCTATCGTCCACTCATTGAAGTGAGTACAAGTGCTATCAGTTATCACCCTTTAGTGATGAGTGACACGAGATGTGCTCGCGGACGACGCATGTCCTTGGTAATAGGCTGATCCAACGTATAATGTGAGTATCTTCCGCCTGGAAAAGAAAACGGACATATGCTGGAAAATGAAATTGTGATGTATCAGTATCAATTGCTTTCGAAAGAATTCGACATGTAGAATTGTGTTTCAATCCTCATGTTCTACAACTTTTGATGATAGCAACCGATACTGCTTCAGCACATCTGTATCTTTGAGTTGGTATACGTTTTCTAACATGAAATGACAGACAACTCCGTACGTTAAAAAGACTTACGAGTGATCTGTAGATGCTGAGAATAAAATGCTTTGTGAAAAAAAGTACGTCGGCAATTACCTATAAAAGTAGCCAACAGCATCAACATCCGAACTTAACAGGACCCGGTTGACCTCGGTATATAACGACTTACTGTGTAGCAGTTAGATATTATTATTTCTGTAATACACATTATCTTTGACTAATGAACAACATATAAGCTTTGCCAAGCACGATCATGCACCAGAAGAAAAGTGCCCTAGCCTCATATACGCACCGAGGACGGTATGTTTATGTAGTTAGATGGTGTAGCAGATATAGTATGGTATCGGCATGTGTAAGAATTGGTTTATAAGTGTCCCTCTTCAGCTAGGACATCAACGTCTATTGTTGCCCATTGCGACATTTTGAAGATTATTCTCAGGAGAGCAAAGCCTAAGTGTTTCAGAAAGTTTAAGTGTGTAATTTTCGATCGGTAGTAATTGATCTTTCGGTGTAAAATCATCTCGATAACGGTGCTTTCTTGTCGGTGCAAGTCTACACAGTGAATAATGAAGGTCATATAAGGATAGAAGAGAGGAAAGTAGTTAAAACAATGCGCTATCAATTGTACAACTTTTAAATGCGCGCACGCCTCATTCACCTAGTGACGGGGCTGATTATCACACTATATCCTACAGAACACTCTGTCCAGAGATCAAACCGCGTCTTTCTAAGCAGATGATTACACTATAGTCAGATACGTGGATCTAGCAAAAAGTGGATGATGGAGTTTACGCAATCATATGTAGATCACATGGTATCGGTAGCGAATGCAAACATGCAAAGTGGCTTCATGCGCTCAACACTCGAATGACATTCGTCTTTGTGTAAGCAGGACGCAGTCGACGAGTAAGTAAATACTACGTTGAGCATACAGGGCGAAGTCAATGCTCGAATGAAATTTTGCTGTCGTTTCCTCTGAATACATGGCATTGCGATGTGTAGTGTAGGACCGAAGACTAAGCTGCTTGCTAGGCGAATGCTAACGACAATTCTGAAGTAAAAACATGAGCTGCTAGCAAACGGACATTGCCGTATGGTTCGAAATTGCCATTGTATATATGTAGCTCGTAAAGTGGATAATGTTTGCTGGATACAAATGTGGTTGCCTTTCGTAAACTGTCGACTGGTGAAGGCGTAGAAGCGCAACGGCAAACCATCATGCTACTATCATTAAACTACCACCCAGTGAGCGATTCTTTCACAAAGACAATGTAACGTAACTCCTATAGGCGGCATCGTACTATTGTGCTTCGGATCAACGTCAATCAGCGTCGTGACTACATTGTGTGGCTCGCGAAATGTACGTGGTCAGATCCAGTGAAGCCGTGGCAGCGTCCTCTTCACTACCCGCGTGAAAATAACCAGTACCATAAGCACAATAGGTAATACGTTTATTACGTACATATGTACAGCAGCTAGATTGAAAAAAATGCATCGAGAAGTCTTCTCGTCAGCGTCCTAGACTTCAAATGCCGATCGCGTCCAGCTCCGTGTCACCCTTTTCGTGAAACGAAGCGCAGCTAGTACTCGATGTTGAAAAAACGGGCCGATATAATATACTCAAATTCTTGACGCAGCCGCTGAGCAAGGAGTTTAAGATCGTTCACTTTCTCAACCTCCTTGATGAAGCCGTCAATGATCGTACGATCGTACTCTTTGTTGTATAAAGCCATCGCCGTATCTTTGATGGTCATCTGGATGTCTGCGTTGTCTTTCCGTAGCCGCTCAGTGTACTTAAGCCAATGTATCGAAGATCCCGGGAAAGCAATAAGTGCCTCTGGATCGTTCAGTAAGAGACTCTCAAAAACATGGTGAGGGTTCAATTTCAATTCTCTCCACACCTGAACCATCGCATCGGAGTCTGTTGGGACATTTTCGGCAAAATACCTGTACATCAGGATGGCCTGCCCGCTGAATTTCTCGTGGCCCTTCAGCTTTAGAAGCACCTTTACCGCCTCAACTGTGAGTCCAGCTTCTATCAGTATATCGACAGCCCGATCGTATGTCCACGCGGGAACTTTCTTGACAGTCCGAGTGATTATATCTAGCCAGGTCACGAAGGTTTGGACGTCCATTTGACCCTTTTCGAGGCCGAGTTCCCTGAATTTGTACACGGGAAGTTTCAAGGAGTACTCATCGAACTCGGCCAACAGTGATTCAAGTTTCGGGGGAGCCACATCCATTCGCTCCTCGTTGGCGTGGTCTTTCGAGAATGTCTCGTCCATTGAAAAGCCCTTCGTCTTCATTTGGCCTCGGTCGACAAGACTGGTGGAGTCCATACCAGCTTCATTCGCCTTCGTCAGATTTGGCGGATCGGACGTCGCGTTTTTATGGTGGCTCGATGGTTGTTGTTGGGGAACTGCATCGACTCGACCGCCGTCATCCAAAGGAGAACAAAGCAAGGCGAATACGCCGAGGGCGATGAATATGAGCCGGGACATTAGAAGATGCTGAGTCAGGAATGTTGTAGGATTTGCGGCGCGAGGAACACAAGCGGCGTTTTCTTCGGCTCGGCGTGGAAACCAACCCCCCCCTCCTTTTAAATCAAAATTCATGCACGGTGATTCGCCAGAAATTGTATTGCCCGTTGAAGATTTTCTAGTCGCCATTCGTTGGCCAGAGGTCCTGTTCCGAAAATGTTCGAATTTCCATGACCCAAAAATGTGTGTCGGGTAGACCTAACTGGTTAAAAAACTGAGATAGCCATTACCAAAATATTTAAGAATTCCCTTAGACAACGCGTACTATAGCATAAGATCAGTTGCATATACGATATTGTGAGAAAGTCGTTTAAAACAATCAGCGAGGCATACATAAAGTTTATTATGTAAACCCCTTACGGACAGGTTGACTGCCACGATTATTGAGATGTAACAGACGTGCCGACATTCTGCAGCAACGATCTGAGACTTAGCTACAACGGTCGTCGAAAGTAGTTCGAAATTACTGCGATCATCGACGCAATAAAGCGATCAAAACGATGTTTGCAGATCTAATAGGACTACGTAATAGTGCTTTTGCATGTGTCTCTATTACGTTTTAGATAGTACGGAGCAGACTGATTATTTAACATCCCAACTAAACAAGCGTTAGGCATACTGATTTAATTCTTGAAGACCTCTGCTAATGCAAATTACCGCTACAAAATCTGCAAGCCGATGTGGTGCATCCTATAGAACCAACCTGACACTCGATTGTATTGAATACTTTCAAATTGAGGAACTTATTCTCTTAGCTGATACAAGAAGAGGCATAAAATGTACCCATGTCCACCATCTTTATACAGTTAAGCATAATTTTTTTGTGAGAGTGGTTAGCTTTGCATCGTTCAGTTGTTTAAATGGTCGTGCATGGAGCATGCTAATACTAGTGGGGTATCGTACAAAAGCAAAGCGTTAAATATCGTTTAAAATTACCTTAGCTACAGTTAAGTTCAGTGGGCCACAAGCGTGCCAAGTCCACAATTCATACGAGTATGTAATATTTCAATGCCGGGAAGTTAAAGATTTTGTTGCATGCGGTTCACGTATTGTTTTCATAATTGCAGCAATGCTTTGTGTTACTGTTATCCAGTCAATAATTCTACACACGATAATGTAAGCAAGGTTTAGTCAGTACTTTTCGCAAGTACGAAAGCGTTCTTGTAGTCACATTCGCCAGCTCAAAAATGCCACAATTTGATATTTTGATCTGCACGCAGGCACGTGATAGGAGGTGGCTTTCTTGAGCGATCAATGCAATTTTAAAGACTACCCTGAATTGATATAGCGAAGGCGTTGCACCTATAATAATACAACGTCTACTTATGCAGCATCAAAACTAGCAAGACTGCGAGTAGACAACATTGACTATAATCGAGCATCCTTGGATTGTAGGTATACTTTCATGAGCTAATAGTACTGATAACACCATTAGCAGGTACTATGTTGCTTCACTTACATAGTACGCCTAGAAGAAGACAATCTGCCCGGACGAGAGGGTCTATAAGATATAAAAGGTTAAGCAATGCATAAAATGTCGTGATTCTCCTCACAAACCTCGTTTATTTGAATAATTACATATTTTGTACCTAACATGTAGAACTAAATTACATTTTCGAGTTAAATACAAGCGCACCACACATTTCGCGCATCTATCAGCGATACGTAATGTATTGAATCCAAATTATGACTATTAATCAACTAACATGCAGAGCAGAATTTGTCATTACATTTAAACGAGGTGTTCCTGCACTAGTTTTACAGGAAAAGGTATACATACATACACTTCACAAGATAAAAAAACAATAACTACATATATGTTCATAACATGGCACAAGCGCACGCTGTAACATTGGTCACATAGACTACCGCCTATATAAGATAAGGATATCATTAACTTAAGACGTATTACAATTCTTAGTAACACTGTGGCATGAACATGTCTTCAGGACGAAGAATGAATATGGTCGTGCCTATACCAATTAACTCAATGCACCTGACAGATATGAACGGTCGTTAATTTTACAGCGAACTATATTCTTCGGATCACTATTATACAAAATTATACTGCCGATTACCCGATACTATATTTCTCCTAATATCATAGGTACATTGTAGATAAGAGACCATGATGCGTTTCGATGACTATAAATTTTAAATAGAAATAATTTTTTTCAAGTAAATTAATGTTTGTATTTATTTACATCAGTTACAGTATAACGTTGTATAATTTATTGCTGTGCTTATAAACTAGCATAAATGAAGTAGTTATAACTCACCTGCCGACCCTTAGAATAAAAGGCCAAAAAAAAGATATAATAGAAAGCATGAAAGTTTAAGAAGAGGCTCGGAAATTTGTATAATGCAGATAGCGAAAAATAAGTGTTCATAGCGCAATGCAAAAAGTTCCATACTCTCGCAATCACGCATGCAATCATAAATGAATTAACAGGTAAGAAATTCTACATTCACGACCTAACATAAGACAGGACGTCGCTCAACGTCGAAGCAAATTAGATTACACCTAAAAGCTGCTTCGGATGCACATTAAGTTGATCTGACCAAGCCTCTAGATGCTCATTCTTTTTTCTAATGACTTAATTAAACTAAAACAATTTTATATTCTAGATCACGCTCGGTACGTTGTTTAAAATTTTCCTGATATTGATACTGAAAGCTAGCTACGTTTTCGGGAACAGTCAAAATGTAAGGGTATTTTATGAAGTAAATAATTGTATGAAGGGAGGACTTCCATTCAATTTCTAATTTATGTTATACTCATTAATTGAGTTTGGGCATCGTTGCTGTGCGTCAAGAAAAACATAACTGGATTTGATGCATTGATTTTGGTATTTTAAAGCTCGTAAGCACCATACTTTTCGAATCTAAGCATCGAATTCTATGGATATTGTGTTGACCTATCATCATAGATTTGATTCAATGTACCAGACTGAGTTGGACTTGACAAGCACAAATATGTTCAACTCACTCGTATGTAATGTATTATGTCTACTTAAACCCGTGCCTTTTTTTGCGCATGCACTCCATATTTGCTTAAGTAAGTGTCATATTTACTGCTGCGTACAAGATAATTGGGCCCTTATTATCATATGACGTGATATCATTAAAACTTGGAGTTAAAAAACAGTATGATCATGTTAAGGTAGACAAAATCGTTTTCATGCGTAAAATCAATCCTATTAAGTGTTCGCGCTTCCCAAGATTTCAGACATGTTATTATTTGAGTTTCATGAAGTGTAAATAATTAACGTTGATTAATACATATATATTATATAGGGAGCCGCTAAAGAGCCTTCAGTTTTCGCTAATGAGCCTACACCCAATACCTTAAACGAGTTGTTAATATTAAAGGCCTTTAAATTAAACACCTAAATTGATGTTCCGTAACACTCCTGATGCAAAAATTTTCTGGGTAGATCTCTTAGGCTCATTTCCATCGTTACAACAAGCAGAATTTTTTTGACCTACGACGCACCGCAAAACAGAGCGCACTAGGTGAAGCCGGCTTTGATGCGTGGTATCTTATCATGAAAGCTCTCAAGATCGCGTAACGAGTGTAAAACCAGTCTAGTTTCAGGTTTTTCATTTTTGGCCAACGAAACAGCTATGTTCATACGATACCGTTAATTCTTCTCCCGCTCTTCAGGCGTTACCGTCGCTCGTGCTTCTGCCACTTCCCGGACACTGGCTGCAGAATTTCGTCCATTTTATATGTCTATTCAAGATCAACTACTCGATGCCTTCATGTAATGTGGCGAAGTCGATCTCACAAAATCGGTTGTGGGAGGATCGATCTTCCACTTGCCCATTCTTGCCGTCTCACGGAGGAGGGTTTTCCGGTCCGTGGTGGTCACAGGTCCACGTCCCATCATTTGATCCGTGAATTTACTACATAAATGCGATTGGGATCTGTTCGCCACAGACCAACATCAGGCAGGACATGGTTGGCTAAAGCCAGGCTGTCGTAATCACACACGTGGACAGCTTTAGATGGTAAAAGCAGTATAGGTTAAGATCGATTTGCTAATTTGTTTAAGCACGGATGGATCGAAGCTCGATAGTATGTCCAATATCGGGCGCTTTGTAGCTCGCTTGGACAACGATATGATGCCCTCAGCGATCGTCGATGTAACGGACTTCGTTTATCATAGCGGCTGGACAGATACGCAAGTGTTCGTGTGTGTTGATCATGTAAACGCAGCGACGAAAACAGTGATGGTTAAAAGACCGATGAGGTTGGTGATCACTAAAATTTGCTGCCAGCAATTATGAACGACATGCTTTCATTTATCGAATTACAGATACTTAGATCCCTAAAGATTGACATGTTTTCGCGCTTCTGTTGATCCGCCAAAGTCACCGGCGGATGTCTCTGCATGGTGGTATTGATTATATTTGGCCACGGGAACGGCTGCTGCAGTTTAGCCCCTTCGCTTTGCAGGTTGACAGAAATGGGCAAACCGGTCCCCTGGCCTTAGCCGACGATGGTTCTGGCTGCGGTAATATTTAACGTGTGTATTGTGAGGCATGATGAGGCGTATGTAGTCGGATAATGAAATGGTCTTTGCGCTGGGTAAGGGATACCGATTGACGAAAATGCTTACGCTGGCTAGTATTACCATAACTATTGTTTGAGCTAAATACATTATTTTTTGATAAGTAATTTGAGTCGTCTTGAAGTTGTTGTGACCGCCTTCTTTATACTGACTGACGCAATGATGATTTCGGCTCATTCTCCAGCGGGC